GAGTGGCCGGATTATTATATACACTGAGTGGCCGGATTATTATATACACTGAGTGGCCGGATTATTATATACACTGAGTGGCCGGATTATTATATACACTGAGTGGCCAGATTATTATATACACTGAGTGGCCGGATTATTATATACACCGAGTGGCCGGATTATTATATACACCGAGTGTATACATCCAGCACTTACTGAAGCGACAGACAGGGGAGGGGCGGGCACAGCTGGCTCTGGATCTAGAGAGGCGGGGCCAGCTGTCAATCAGGCAGCAGGGTGGATCCCAACAACAGTGCTGCAGCACGGCTCTTGCAGTAGCCCGGGAAATATGACATACAGTATGGACCTAAGGCAGGTCTTATGGTCTCCTTTGAGTGTCCCCGATTAGGATCATGATGTCTATTTTTCCTGTAGGGGCCACAATGAGCTCGTCTGACTTTCCGGGGTGCGTGACACTGCATTTCAACTTTTGCTAACTTGCTGGTGTGGGTACCAATCTTTCCCTTTTCTGTGGAGAACGGGGAAAGGGAACACACAAGTGTTACTATTTAGAGTCAATGGAGATTTTGCTAGCAGGTTCACAGATGGTCATATGTAATGTTCCCAGTTGACAGTGAGACATCTGCAGGTGACACAGCCACCGTTAAAGGAGTACTATGAGGCGAGTGAAAATCACTCAGCCTCATGGTTCTAGCCGACCTGTGGCAATGAAACTGTCACAGGTCGGCTCAATAGATCGGGAAGTGAGCGAACACACACTGCCGCTCGCTCACTTCTCGAACTATCCCTGCAGAGAGCCGTGACTGCCACTCGCGGCTCCCTGCAGGGATTCCCGCTCGGTTTCCTCCAGTGCTGACTGGCGGAACGGGCGGGGGAGGGGGCGGGCACTGCTGGCTTTGCCTCTAGATAGGCAGAGCCAGCTGTCAATCACGCAGCTGGGTGGATCTTGACAGTAATGGCTGCGGCGTCTCAGTATACCGCGAGCTGTAGCTCCCTATATATTGAGCTTAGGGTGACGGGAGGACGCTAGTTTGTGCCCCCTCGTTACCCTTAGAACTATGGGGGAAAGCCCCGACCCCATAGTTATCCCTTAACATCCGTTATTTCTTGTTTCACATTGCCGGGAGATATTTTCTGCTCATTATAAAAGGCAGGTACCTGGGCACCAGACTATAAAGATGACAAAAACTTTATATATAGATACATTGATATATACTGTATATAGATACATACAGTATACACACACACACATATATAAAATTGTTTCTGATACATAGTGCTTTAGCAAGCTAAGTTCCATCCAAAATAGATCTGCCTAAGGAGGCTTCCCTTCCTTGTGAGGCGGCGTTTACATTTGCAGTATTTACAGGCAAAACGGGTCGTACTTTTCCCTGGCGGGTTGCTGTGTCGAAAGCACCATAAAATGCCCAGTGACTGGGTCATCATCCCTACAAGAAGGGACCGCTCTTACCTGTATTGTGTAACTGCTGGGTTGGCTTTGGCTGCACAGTGAAACTTCACCACGTTATCCTCCAGCACGGGCTGCGGCTCCACGGTCAGGTTGACCAGCGGTGGATCTGTAAGCGTACAAAACACGCATGTGTCAATTTTTACTGTACGTTCCGGGTCCATGATCTACAACAGTCTGCATGACAGGATGTGCGTCCTCATATATTTGTAAATAAACCAAAAATTGATATTTTAGTATTAGGTAGACTTTGGTTGAACAGAGGCACCCATTGACTTGTTAAATCCTGCATCATGAGCGCCATGCCACAATTCCTAACTCTTTCCCTATCCATCTTGGAGTTTTAAGCCCTCCCTGGGGTGTTCTTGGGCCTCCTGTTCTTCATAATATAAATTGTAACATTATTATTATTAATATTATTATAATACAGGATTTATATAGCGCCAACAATTTGCTCAGCGTTTGGCAAAATAGTGCAGGCAGTACAGTTACAATACAATTTACAATACAATACAGTTTCAGAACAATAGGGTTGGGAGGACCCTGCACGTGAGAGCTTACAATCTAGTAGGAGGGGCAAGTGGTACAAAAAGGTAATAATTGTTTAGATTGAGTTATTGGAAGAAGTAAAAGGGCAGTTATGTTGAGATGAGATCGGCTTCCCTGAAGAGATGGGTTTTTAAGGATCGCCTTATAGAGAGGGTGAAGTCGTCCCCCCCCCATAAATGCTCTGGCAGGTGTGTGTACCTGGGAACTCAAGCATAGGAATCACACCACTGGAGATGGTACAAAGCATTTGGTTGTTCTACTTTCCAGATTCCACAATTCAGATTGCGATGGACGGTCACTATACAGGGCAATACACATCTACTTTGCAGTTCACAATCTCCCTAATATTCAGTTTTAGGTTTTGAAGATTTGTCCCTGGAAATATCAGTCACTAAAAGTCTCCATGTTTCACAACTAAACAGATTTTGCCATATTACATTTTTCTCACTGCATCCAATGTTCATTTTTTGTCATATGTATAGTGTGGCCGGATTATTATATACACCGAGTGGCCGGATTATTATATACACCGAGTGGCCGGATTATTATATACACTGAGTGGCCGGATTATTATATACACTGAGTGGCCGGATTATTATATACACCGAGTGGCCGGATTATTATATACACTGAGTGGCCGGATTATTATATACACCGAGTGGCCGGATTATTATATACACCGAGTGGCCGGATTATTATATACACCGAGTGGCCGGATTATTATATACACCGAGTGGCCGGATTATTATATACACCGAGTGGCCGGATTATTATATACACCGAGTGGCCGGATTATTATATACACCGAGTGGCCGGATTATTATATACACCGAGTGGCCGGATTATTATATACACCGAGTGGCCGGATTATTATATACACCGAGTGGCCGGATTATTATATACACCGAGTGGCCGGATTATTATATACACCGAGTGGCCGGATTATTATATACACCGAGTGGCCGGATTATTATATACACTGAGTGGCCGGATTATTATATACACTGAGTGGCCGGATTATTATATACACCGAGTGGCCGGATTATTATATACACCGAGTGGCCGGATTATTATATACACCGAGTGGCCGGATTATTATATACACCGAGTGGCCGGATTATTATATACACCGAGTGGCCGGATTATTATATACACCGAGTGGCCGGATTATTATATACACTGAGTGGCCAGATTATTATATACACTGAGTGGCCGGATTATTATATACACCGAGTGGCCGGATTATTATATACACCGAGTGTATACATCCAGCACTTACTGAAGCGACAGACAGGGGAGGGGCGGGCACAGCTGGCTCTGGATCTAGAGAGGCGGGGCCAGCTGTCAATCAGGCAGCAGGGTGGATCCCAACAACAGTGCTGCAGCACGGCTCTTGCAGTAGCCCGGGAAATATGACATACAGTATGGACCTAAGGCAGGTCTTATGGTCTCCTTTGAGTGTCCCCGATTAGGATCATGATGTCTATTTTTCCTGTAGGGGCCACAATGAGCTCGTCTGACTTTCCGGGGTGCGTGACACTGCATTTCAACTTTTGCTAACTTGCTGGTGTGGGTACCAATCTTTCCCTTTTCTGTGGAGAACGGGGAAAGGGAACACACAAGTGTTACTATTTAGAGTCAATGGAGATTTTGCTAGCAGGTTCACAGATGGTCATATGTAATGTTCCCAGTTGACAGTGAGACATCTGCAGGTGACACAGCCACCGTTAAAGGAGTACTATGAGGCGAGTGAAAATCACTCAGCCTCATGGTTCTAGCCGACCTGTGGCAATGAAACTGTCACAGGTCGGCTCAATAGATCGGGAAGTGAGCGAACACACACTGCCGCTCGCTCACTTCTCGAACTATCCCTGCAGAGAGCCGTGACTGCCACTCGCGGCTCCCTGCAGGGATTCCCGCTCGGTTTCCTCCAGTGCTGACTGGCGGAACGGGCGGGGGAGGGGGCGGGCACTGCTGGCTTTGCCTCTAGATAGGCAGAGCCAGCTGTCAATCACGCAGCTGGGTGGATCTTGACAGTAATGGCTGCGGCGTCTCAGTATACCGCGAGCTGTAGCTCCCTATATATTGAGCTTAGGGTGACGGGAGGACGCTAGTTTGTGCCCCCTCGTTACCCTTAGAACTATGGGGGAAAGCCCCGACCCCATAGTTCTCCCTTAACATCCGTTATTTCTTGTTTCACATTGCCGGGAGATATTTTCTGCTCATTATAAAAGGCAGGTACCTGGGCACCAGACTATAAAGATGACAAAAACTTTATATGAGCAAAATCTCTAAAAATCACAATCAGGAGCAGCTCATTCTAAGAGACCGCAGCACGAGGCCTCAGTATTTCCCAGGAGAAACGGGGTTAATTCTAATTATTTTCCAACGTGTGTTCTTCCGTTCCAGATGCAGTTCGCAGCCGTTAATAGCATTTTTAATTGCTTTTCTGCGCAAGCAATTCAGAGCAAGCGAGATCTTTATTCACAATCTCATTTCAAAGTCTTCCGATAGCTCTTCCCTCTTTCATCCATCCAATTAGTATGTCCCGAAAAGTAGATGCTGCTTAATGCCCAGCAATTGTGGCGCCTTCACTCATAAGTGAAACACTGCTATTAATACGATTGTTCCTCGGAATTTAGATAATTATTTCGACTATTCAGAGTGTCAATATATACTGTACCTTCGGGGTCCATGATCTACAACAGTCTGCATGACAGGATGTGCGTCCTCATATATTTGTAAATAAACCAAAAATTGATATTTTAGTATTAGGTAGACTTTGGTTGAACAGAGGCACCCATTGACTTGTTAAATCCTGCATCATGAGCGCCATGCCACAATTCCTAACTCTTTCCCTATCCATCTTGGAGTTTAAAGCCCTCATCTATGCCGCACGTCAATAAATAGACGCTTGCTCATGAATTTGGAGTGCCGGTGTCTTTATCTTTACTTGTGATTATAACGGATGTCACCCGTTGACTACTGCAGCACCCGCTATTCAAAGGGATTTGGCGGTCAGGAGTGCGATGGGACCATGGACTTCAACATGAAAAGAAGACTCGACTTCCTCTATGCAGCACAGTTTGCCTTTCATGCACTTTGATAAATGAGACCCCTTGCTCCTGTCTCCGTTTTGCAGTACTCACCACCTGTAGTTATTTTCCACCAGTATTGTTCTGTGTAGGGATGCACCAATGCCGGTATTTCGGTACCGAGTACGAGTACCGATATTTTTTTCCCGGTACTCACCAATACCAAATACCGAGTACCGGAAGTCCCATTCAGGAAGCCAGGTGGCGTGTAATGACTCACCACCTGGCTTCCTGATTAGCAGGGAAGCTGTCCCCATGCTTCGTGGTCACTAGGTGACGAGAAAACATGGAGCCGGCTTTCTGGCCAATCAGGAAGCCGGGTGCCGTGTTATGACAAGAGGCGAGGGAGCATGGAGCCAGCTTCCCGGCCAATCAGGAAGCCAGGCGGCATGTAATGACTGACCACCTGGCTTCCCGATTAGCACTGAAGCTGTCCCTATGCTTCTCGTCACAGGTGACGAGAAAGCATGCAGCCGACTTTCTGGCCAATCAGGAAGCCGGGCGCTGTGTAGTGAGGTGACGAGGGAGCATGAAGCCGGCTTCCCGACCAATCATAAAGCCGGGTGCCGCGTCATTACACAGCGTCTGGCTTCCTGATTGGCCAGTTTCCGACCAATCAGGAAGCCGGGCAGCGCGTCATTACACTCTGCCCAGCTTCCTGATTGGCCGGCTTCCCGGGCAGCATGTAATGACACGCATCGGAGCATTTGGGCGAGTACTCGCTCCAAATACTCAGCATCGGCACCAATACTAGTATCGGTGCATCCCTAGTTCTGTCCACTTTGGGCAATGTCAGGCTAGCAATCCTGTTACTGGTGGAAACTCGGCATCAACTGGATTGCTAAATAGAGAAATCAAGAACAAAACTGATCAAGGACGATGTCCCTCTGGACTTTGGACCCCTGAAACGCGTTGGAATATTTATTTCGGATAAACGATGATCTAATTATTTGGACCATCGGTGTGGTGCACCTTCTCATCCGCATCTCTTGGATTTTAAGTGTATGTCCATCTATTTTTAGTATTGGATATGAGTGGGATAGGAGTAAACTCTTTTTTTCCCCCCAATAATGAATCCAAATCAAACCAAATATACATTGGCCAGCAAAGTATTGCTTCACATTTTTGCTCAAACACTTACAGTCATCATGTTTCAAAACTCTCCCAGCTCCGCTTCCCTGAACTTCCTGTCCAGTACAAGATCACAAGGGACAGAGCAGTTACCAGCAACTGTCCATTTACTAGCTTAGAAGAGGAAGGGGATGAAGGGGATGAGGGTAGGGAGCGCTTGCCTCGCTGTGGCTGTGTGTTTGTGGAGCCACATATGGCTTACTAGCACACACAATGGTGGCTCCATAGGACGCAACAAGGGAAAGGAGCCACCCTAAAACAGGATATCAAGACCAGTCCTCGCGAGAACAGCTAAAACATTTAAACATCAAGGAGCAGCGTCCATTGTAAGTTA